TCTCTTTCTCTGTCTCCTCTCTCTGTCTCTCTCTGTCTCTCTCTCTGTCTCTCTCTGTCTCTGTCTCTGTCTCCTCTCTCTGTCTCTTCTCTGTCTCTCTTTGTCTCTTCTGTTCTATCTCTGTGTCTCTGTCTCTGTCTCTTCTCTGTCTCTTTATCTCTTCTCTCTGTCTCCTTTTTCTGTCTCTTCTCTGTTTCTCTTTCTTTTCTGTCTCCATCCCTACATCCTAAGGGTTTGGATCAACCATCACCTAGGGTTTAGGGTTTAGGGTTTAGGGTTTAGGGTTTAGGGTTTATGATGCAGGTATGTCTCGGGAGTTTGCTGCTGCTCGCCGCGCTTTGCTGCTGAAGGCGGGGAGAGAAATAAAAGAGAAAAACCTGCAGCCGGTTTTGAGGGTTTGGTTCACGCGGACTTGCTTCAGGTACCCAAACCCTAAACCCTAAACCCTAAACCCTAAACCCTAATGAAACCCTAAACCCTGCTTAAACCCCAAACCCTAAACCCTCTTTTTTTTTTTCGGGGGGATCAGAACTCTTGCTGCTGAACGGGAGAGAGAGCAGCACGAACCAAACGCCTAAGCTAAAGGGTTTTCTTTTCTAGGGTTTAGGGTTTAGGGTTTAGGGTTTAGGGTTTAGGGTTTAGGGTTTAGGGTTTGGGTGCAGGTCAGAAGACGGGTCTATATTTGTGACGGTCGATGAAGACCTCCGCTTTGCGCGGAATCCACCAGACGGCGACTGCAAGGGTACCCCCAAACCCTAAACCCTAAACCCTAAACCCTAAACCCTAAACCCTTGAGAGATGTATAGAGAATATATTGAGCTCCTCTTGCAGCATTTTGGTTTCGACTTACAGGCATATCCCCGTTGTGTCTTTTTCTAGGGTTTAGGGTTTGTTGTTTCCGTTTTTGCTTTCTGCTGCTGCCGCTGCTGCTGCTGCTGCTGTTGCCGTTGCTGCTGCTGCTGCTGTTGCTGCTGCTGCTGCATGCAGGGTTTCTGCTGAACGGCGCAGCAGCACTAGCGTCTGAGGGTGCAGCACCGTTCCCTTGGGGGGTTATGGACGTCTCCCGTGTGGG